GAGAAAGTTTGTAGCAGTTGCGCATTGCTTTTTGAGATCCATTCAAGAATATTGTCTTCTCATGGCTGCGTGTTTATTTAGGGAATATTGGACCTTTGTAAAGGGGAAGGAGACATTATGAATTTGAGAGTAAGTTGCTCGGTTTCTCTTGTATGTAGAAAAATAAGTGAACGGATCCAGAAGGTAGTTTGCTAGGTTTCATTTAAATTTCACCATGCTAATTATAAGATAATTATATTTGTTGTTTTTAATTGTTGCAAATGCATATAGTTGCATTGGTCACTGCACAACTTAACAGTTCAAAGTTTGCCCCATAAAGGTGCCCAGATTCTAAAAAGAACCATGTAAGGAGAAAGCCAGAGATGCACTGTTTTAAAAAAACAAAAACAAACCACCAGAAACAACACACACCTTATCCTCCTACATACATAGTTTACTGATTGCTTGGTGATAATTCCATCATGGCTTTGATTTTTGATAGTAGTAATTGCTCTTTATGAGAGAGAGTTTGTTTTCAAACAGAGAGGGTAGTATCCTGTACTCGTTAACATCATAAAATCCCGTGAAGTTTTGTTCTGTAAACTATGTTCTGAAGAAAGGTCAATGAAAAGGCGAAATGTGTGAATGAGAGAAAACATAAAGCAACAGAAGTCAGTGCAGCCTTGACGTTGTCCTGTGTTTGAAAGTAGCCCCTATCAGATGCCCAGAGAAGAGCGTGAGAACAGGGCAAGTGAGTTGAGTTACTTCCCCCGAACGTGCTTCTAGCAATTTGCAGTTCAGGGGCTTCCTCAGGCACAGCTGGTATCCTCGCCCGTCTAGTCTGTGGTGGATATTTCCACAGTTTAAGTAACGCATTTTCTTAGTTTGAAATATTATAGTTAGGAGGAGGCTGTTCCAACAGGGTTCATGGAAAGCAGCATTTGATATTTTGAACCTTGTTTATATTTTTCAGGTGTTAAATTCTTGTGACTGGTAGTTGTATTTATTGTTTTGGTCTCTAAATGGACCTATTACAATGAGTTTCTATATTTTGCATTCATTGTACTTGATCTGTATCCTTCCTACAATGAATGAACCTGTATTTTCAGCATTTAGCGTAAGTTAAGAGATTTTTGATAACTTTGTGTTCAAAATATTTAACTTTTTTAAAAAGGAAAAGCTTACATAACTGAAAATTTTGTAGTTTCGTAGTCAAACTCGCTATGCTTTAAATACAGTGAACAATTATCACATCTAAAAATGTTGTTTTCCTCATTGTAAGAGAGAGATCTAAGCATATCTGTTAGGGCTGCTGTTTGCTAGCGTGCCATTTAGTTTGTCAGGATGGTAAGGTGTTAACTCAGTGTAGCACTTTCCTATCTGCTGCCTTCTATTATGTCAAAATAACTTTTAGTCCAGGATTCAAGTATTTTCCTATTTACTGATTTTCTGTATTGTTTGCATATCTGGCAGTAGAATAAAAGAGGGTGGTATCTCAGGATTTAATTTCAAGTAGTTCTCTTAAACTACTAAAATTTAAAATTCTACAGGGAGTCAGATTTTGTTTAAATCTATTAATGTTTAAATACATTGCAAAGTAATTTTAGTATTGCATTAATGATGCTGCTCTTAGATGGAGAATATGGCAGAGGTCAGAGCGTTCCTTTTAATTGACTGACTTTTTATGTTGCTTTATTTCAGAGAAGACTGTTTGGAAAATTGGATAGAACTCAGACTGCTGACGCAGTTTATACTGATGGGAAGCATATAGGCTAATATTGAACCTAAATAGAGAATGAAGTAGTAGCCAGTTTATAAAATGCAAGACAATTTCTTGTCGTAAACTGAGTTTCTTTCTTCTTACGGTTTGGGGTTTTTAATCTTTGCATCATTTGGAAAAAAAATTCTGCCGCTAGAAAGTCTTGACTCTAATGTTGTACAAACTGTCCCTCAGATGTGCTGAGTAACTGTGCAGTGCAGAACAGATTTCTTTTGAGGTAATTTAATGTCTGATCAGTATAATATATTGGTGCTTGGGAAAGTGTTTATTAGGTTAAGTATAAATATTGAAATTTAGAAGCACACTTTGATATCTATTATTGGATAATTTTTAACACTTCTCTTCCCTCTCCTCCTTCCTTCCCCATACGTATGTAGCTGTACATAATTCTTCACAGGACTGCACTTTTTGGCTTTTGAAGTAGGAATCCCAGGATGTTTTGTTTGCAGGTGAAAAAATGGGTCATTTGGTACTGGATGCTGTTATCCTGACTCTTTCTTATTTGTAGGATTAAAGCAGAAAAACTGTGTGGATGCTTAGTTTTAGATTACTGGAGCTACAGTAACATAGCCATATGTGAGGATGATTAAAGTGCAGATTAAGCTTTGAAGGGAGGCGTTTCTGAATATCTGCATCTATTTTACATATTATTGTTTTCTGTTGGTCAAATAGATATAATTATGCTGCTAAAAAAGGTGACTGTTTTGAAACTTAATTCTGCTGCTTACATGTGCTCTTTATAATAGGAACACAGATCAGTTTCTTCTTTAAGGTACATGCATTTATAATTTAATGCAATATATTGCAGTTCAATAATCTTTTGCGCAGAAGAACATTCCAAGGTCTTAAGTACAGCAATCTTAAAAAAATCTCTGTTAAAATGGAATTGTGGCTGATGATACATACTGACCTTTTAGAAGTTCAGTATAACAATTTGCTAGCTTCGGAGCTGCATATTTCAGAATGCTTGATTACTTCATCGCTGCTATTAACCCTTATCAATTTCCTTTCCGTTCTGCAGCTGAAGTTCAGAGCACCTCACTAATTGATGCACAAAGCTTAAATCTCTGCTCTCTTGAATATGCTGTGCGGATGCCAACAGCTTGCTCTTTGGTTATTTGGTTGCATAACCTTTAGTAACCCTGCCAGCCTACACCAGCTATGTGATTGTCTCTCTTAAGGATCAGATTTAAAACTCTGGGATACGTCCTGCGCTGAAAATGGTGCCCATGTGTTTAAGCAATTGCACTGATGGTAGCTGCCTCCTACCACTGCTGTTTGCAGATTGCCTGACTGCCCAGAAGAGCAGAGAAATGTTTTATCATGTGATAGTGACATAAAGGGATTGCCTGGTGGAGTGGAAGAAGATGGCATTCTTGCCTCTTGACGTGCAACAGGGCTGCTAAGCAGAGCCTGCTAAATCTGATGTTTCTCTCTTCCTCTGTGCTGGGAAAAAACTGTATTTTAGGATAGTAAAATACTTGGGGGGCTGTGGCATGATCTGAGAGTCTGCTCTCCAGTTCAGAGGCAACTAAGTTAGTTCCCAAGTAGCCCACCGGTGAAGACGGCAGAGTGTCCATCCCTGATTCATAGAGTGGTTGTGGAGGAGTGAGACCATGCTCTCTGCCTTCCACGTGGGTGGTGGCAGGTGAGGCGCTGCAATTCCTGGCTTTGTATGGCAGGGCTGCTCCAGGAATGAGTGAGTTTGTGTCACTTGTGATGGATGGGAGAATGGTTTCCATGTTTTAGTACAGAGCAGTATGTCACTGAAAACTCCTGGCACTTAAATGCTCTTAGATTTATGTGTATCTGAGTGCACAATCAAATCCTCATATTCTCCCTTTTGCATATGACATAAAGTTTTAAGGACTCTTAGATTTAGCTGTCTTCAAGGCCATAGGCCTCTGATTGCTAGTCTGTTGTAACGGCTGAAGCCTGTGGAGCTGCCGAACTTTGTTGAATTCCTCACCTGTAGTATTTGTTAACAGTTATCGGGGCAAGTGGCACCGCAGTTCTGCAGCTATGGGGCATTGTGCTTGACGAACAAGACGGGCACTCGGTTTCCCAGCATCTTATGTTTTGCTTATGTGTTTACTCTTTGTTTCCCTGTGGTGGCTGAAATCTAACCATCGTGCTGGTCTATGAGAGTAGACGTGGGCTAACTCTGTCTGCCTCGCACACGCTTTGCTAGTGCCTGATGTGGCGGTATCAAATGACTGCTTTCTCCCTAGCTTACAAGGATGGCTGGATGGATGGGGACACAGAGCAGCAGCATGGTGAATGCGGTGATCTTTGAACTTCGCAGTCTCCAGAGGAGAATGTTGTGTTCAGGTTTTATTGTTATTCTGGAACAAATATGCGGATTTTAAAATGAGGAGCAGACTATCTTGAAGATTTATAAAGTTTGATGGAACATCACACAGTTCAGATTCTGACTATGGAATAGTTTGTTCAAATAAGAAGCATTTCCCCATTGTCTGACTTTAGTCCTGGTATATGAAGATTAAAGTTACAGTTAAAAAACAAAACAAAACAAAACAACGTAGTTCTGACTCAATAACTATCAATTGCTGATCTGGATAAAAACTAGAGGGACTAAATGCTAATAAATATTTATACTTTGTTGGAAGAGAACATGGTTAAAATGTTTTTTTGTTTTTTAACCCCCCAAGTACTTACCTACAAATTTAGGGTAGGATATGGAGATTTCAGCGTTGCTCACTATATGTACCACTAGAAGAATGTGTAGACTTGGGCACTGTAGTGTGCAGTGGGCTGTTTTGAGCGGAGAGAGGGAAAACCTAAGATACTCTGATCACTCTACAGAGTGTACAAGTGCCTTAAAACCTTAATTTCTCCTCTTACTGGAGTCGGTCATAGACTTGTCAGGCTGTGAGCATGGCTTCTGGAATTATCTGGCAGAGCTTGCATTGGAACACAAAATGCGTGAGCAAGTTCTCCTTTCACTCTTTCTTTTGATCCGAACAGGGCAATGGCAACCCTAAATGCCAGCAACAATGGCAGCCCGTGAGGTATAGGCTGATTTTTCCTAAAATATGTTCAGTTTTTTTGGTCCTTTAAATCTTACTTAAATACAATAAATTCTTAACTCTTTTACTTGCATATTAATGAGAATGTGGGCTTAGTAAAAAGGTTTCTTTTAAGAAAAAAAAAAAAGAAAGGACTTGCCTTCAGGGAAACAGAAGTTTTATTTACTGATCTCATGATTATTCTTTTGCAGTGAAATAAATGCCCGGCTTGATGCTGTGTCTGAAATTCTCCTCTCAGAATCCAGTGTGTTTGGTCAGATTCAAAATCTTCTTTGTAAGCTGCCAGATATAGAAAGAGGACTCTGCAGTGTTTTTCACAAAAAGGTATATCAATAATTATGAAAAATAACGGTTTTCTAAATGTAGTCATCCTTTCTAAATGAATTTTCATAGTTTTTGCACGTTTATTTAAAATATTTTATTCTTAGCGTCAACAAGACTAAGGCTTACACAGTAAAGGAGTAGAAGTTAACAAAAATGATTTCTGCCTCATGGTACTTGTATCAGTGATGCATTGTTTTGAAGAAGTGCCTAATTAGGTTTAGAGAATAGATGCGCTTTGCTGATGCTAACAGGAAAAACATCTTTAGCGTGTTCATGCTTCAGTCACTGGATTCAATGAAATGGGATGATGCAATAGGTCCATATGCCATCAATTATTTCCCTTTAAAGCAATCGATTACACTCTGTATGCTTACCTAAAATCACACTTGCAAGTGAAACTGCTTGGCTGTAATTAGTTGTTTTCAGATGAATGTTAATTTTGTTTGTAAATTTGGTGATCTGGATCTTGCTTGCACGTTTTAATAAGAACTGCTTGTAATGAGACACTGGCAGTTCTTAGTTGAAGCAGATTAATGTGCTAATAGCACCTGTGCTGTACTTCATGTTCTTTTATTTCACTGTTGTATTTAGAGATTTTGACAGTTTGTTTTAGATAAAGGAATAAGTGGGCAAAGTTGCAGTTTCTTTGGGTGGTATAGCACAAAGCTTCATCTGTCTGAAAATCTGAAACTCAGTTCTTGGATAAGTTTTTGGGGCCCTAATGTGTTACAGCATTACGTACATGGAGAGACTTACAAATTTCAATGAGTTGTTACAGAGATCCAGCCGTAGTGAAGTGTATGAAAAGATGCTGAAACATGCTATATCCACATGATACAATTGCCCTTTAAAAATAACTATAGTCAGGAATTAGATAATTCACTTTTTAGTGGTTTAACTCATTTCAGGTTGAGTGGTATGACATAAGGTTTATAGGGCTAGATCCGCATTTCACACCATGCTGGCAATCCTCCACTGCTATCTTGCGCTGCCTTTTTCATGCTAGCGTGCCTGTCTGGTTCTCCAGGAGTCCCAGCCTGTTGTCGGGCGCTGTACTTCTCTCAGCTTTACAGCTACCGTGTTAGGTGGAAACATTCAGAGGTCTTGGATTTTCTTATCATTTTGGAATGAGGAGACAGTGTAGTCCATCTTAAGAACTGTAACATGAAAATATGCATTTGTGTAGCGAAACAGATGTTGAAAAGAAGCTGCAGGAACAGAGAAGTGCTCCAGCAGAATCCTTAAGAAGGGCATATGAAGGGGCAAAAAGTTCTCTTGCTCAAAGCATCGAATTTTCCTTTGACTTAGCTTCCCTTGGTAAAAACTAATTTGTTATCCACTGCATGGCACTGTGGACAGTGCCCAAAGCACTGAGTAATCCCTGTACTACTTCAGGACTCTGAGTGATGACGTTGTCCCTGAAAGAAGGGGTCTGTTTTGAATGAAGAGTCAAAAGCAGGCTCTGGGAAACAGCTTTTGATGTCTAGACAGATAGTGAATGAGTGTTGGGGAAAAGGTCCCTGCAATGTGTATGTGTGCGTACATATATATACTCAAGAAAATTAAATAGCTGATTTTTATAAATTTTTCTTTGGGATATCCAGTGAATGCTGCCATTTCCATTCCCACAAGGAGCCTTTACAGTTCTGTTAACTGCAGATGTCCATCTCCCACATGCTCAAAATGAGGTTCACACTACCCTCTTCCACATCTCTTTGCATTTTCATTCCCTTTAAGGGATCCAAAACTCTCAGCTGAGCACAGTGATGGTTTGACTAAAGGAATTCTAACTCTGGTGATTTACATGCCCCAATGTAGGCTTGTTAATTCAGCTGTAGGAAAAATAGATGAATGCAAAAAATATTTCATTTTTCAGGCTCTTTAGATTTCAGTGATGTTGGTATTTGATGTGGTATGTTTTACAAAGGGAGACATCTGAAATAAATGCACAATGATGGCTAGGTTGGCTCTCAGTCATTTAAAACATCTTTCATTCAGATCAGCTGCTTGCAGAACTTTTATTGTGCAGCAAGCTTTGTACCAGTAAACTCTGGAGGTAACAGGCAAAAAAAAGAAGGCAAAAACAGTGCAGTGTTTTGGAACTGATTTTACACGGCAAAGCATCTTTATGGGAACTGTTGTTGTGAATACCATCTTTGTATGTTTTCCTGGTATGACTGGTACGTTTTTGAATAAGTCCATTGATGATTCTTGTTTGGTAGCATCATTCAGACTTGCCGTTACTAATATGGCCCTTCACAAGCTCCCATTATCCCAAACCCAAACCACCAAAAGCCACGGCTGATGGGATACTAGCAATCCAGGGTCAGAACAGTGTCCTTGCGCAGAAGGGGAGTAGAGGGGGAAGTAGGGTGTTGCACTACCAGCTCCAAGTTTGCCCCAGCCTGGAAAGGGACTGTAGGAATGGGTTTGAGACAGAAGCAACATTACTGTTACTATGGAGACTGGAATTAATACAAGAACTAGTTGTTTTTCTCAGTTCCTGTAGCTCCAGCACCTGACGTCCCCAAATCCCCCCAGACAAACGTTATTGACTGCAGAATGGCTTTGCACATCTTCAGGGCAGGAAAAGGATGGCTGGAGCTGAGGTGTTTGGAGAGCTCTTGATAGCATTCAGCAGACAACTCAAAAGGCAGGACTGAGAGAGAGGGAATTGCCAAGAGCTCTGTATAAACAGTGCCTGGAGCTGATGCAGAAGTATATTTTGCTGGAAGACACATTGGCTCAATGTTTCTATTTTCTGTAACCGGTTCAGCCCTATCCTGCAGCCCCTGGAGAGAGCCACCAAAAAATGCCGTAAAATTTGTTTACCATGCTTTTCTTTTTGCATCCTGCGTCTCAGGACAGTGAAAAAAGGCAGGATCCCACTTCTTCTCTCATTTACCATGATGGCTACTTACCTTTTGCCTTGGAGCGCAGAATGGCAAGAAAGCGGTCAGATGTCCTTTGCTTGAATAGCTTTAAAAGCCAGTACAGGATAAACGTGCCATTAGTACTTTTAGAAACATGTCCTACAGGGCCATTCTGATGTTGCTTGCTGGTTTCATGCTGTGGTGTTTCAGAAGATAAATATTTATACAGACTTGATCCATGAATGTTTATCCAATTTGTACCCTTTGCTCAATAAATATTATTTTTTGAAAAAAGCTTAGTCACCAAAGCAGTGGACAAAAATCATCATAATAAAAGGCCTTTAAATTACAGAAAATATTAAAGTAAAACTCTTTTAGTAAATTCTTACGCAATGGGTGATGTCAGTAACCAAACCTTGCCAGGGTGCGTAACAAAATATCATTTCGGTATGTTCTGCTTCTAGCCCCAGCCGTAGGGGGTCCCTAGCCTGGAGTTCCTTACAGCTTGCTGCGGCTGGAAGAGAAGACCTGTTTGGCTGTGAAGCAGTTTCCTGATGGTGCTTTGCTGCACACTTCCCAGGTTGTTCCTGTGCTTTCTCACCGGTGCAAAATAAAAGGCAGTAGCTGTTACGAGGCGATGCTGTCTCCAGCCTCCTTGTGAGATTTGCCTTTTAGCTTTCCAGTGAAGGCTTTGCTGTCGTGCTGCAACTCGTCAGAGGAGAAAGGGGCTGTTCAGCTAGGCGCTAAGAGTTGTAAAGTTTTCACATAAGCTTATCTACCAGAATGATGCTGAAAAAATGCCTTCCCTGGCAGATATTTCATTAAACAAACTGTTGTGCCTTCAGGAGATCCTAACATCATGATGCTTCCAAAAAACAAATGTTGTATTTCTACTTATTATTTTATTAAATCAATACCTGTTATGTGTTCCCATGAAATTAGTTAGTGTTCATATAGAAGGTTTCAAATAAATTCTCCTCATAGCTTCAGCTAACATAAGCCTTAATCTTCAACGTTTTTTTTTTTTTCCTTCCACCATACCAGTGTGCAAACTAGTGACTTGGAATACAATGCGTTTATACTCTTTTAAAGAAATCGCATCACAGATATTTTTAGACTTGCAATGCTAAATGCAGATTTGAACAAATTGTTCCCTTTTAAGCTGATTAATATAAACAATCTCATAAAAAGGGGGCATAGTAACCTTAAAATGAAATACCTTGTTTTTCTTGAACCAAAAATAGCATCCTCACCATACTAAAAACACAAAGGTAGTAATTGAAGCTTGAAAAGGGTGATAAACGCAAGCAGCATTTCAACTCCTGTGGTTTTTTTTTAATTATTATTTGAAATGCTTATAGCTCAGAATGGACACTGGCTGTCAGCTGTGCGTCTCTGTGACCCCTTTTTAGATCTGCTGGAAACAATTTCACTAATGCAAACAAGGTCAAACTGCTGTCAGTGTTGCTGGGGGGGTGCTAGGCTTGGCGCGCCGCTGAGCATCTTTCATGCATTCTCTTCGGTGGCAGCCCTACCGTTTTCAGTCCTGCTTGAGAAACTGCTGCTTGAACTGTTGTTTGTCACCTCTGTCAACTCTGAGGTTATTCTGCTAGTGCCAGTGAAGCTGTAGGTATCATTAAGGACATTTCAAAATTAGCTTTTTAAAAATAGCCCTGAATAAGTTAGTGAGAATTTTTAGTGAGTGCAAGAATGATCCTGCTTTATGTAAACCATTTTACTGGGTTTTCAAGCTTCTGATTTATAATGAAATTACATATCTCTTCTGTAAAGTTACTTAGGGTTTAAACTGAACCAGTCCCACTTTAAGGCAGCTTAGCTTGTCAGTGTTATTTTAGTGTGTCTGTTCCAAGTTATCTATTTGCTTAGTTAATGAATTCTACAGCGGAGCCATTAAATTTTAGATGCAAACTCCTGCAGTGTTACTTAAATCAAGCCAGAGGAAACAGTAATGCTCTGAAGAAGCACAAAAGCAATGTGTTCGTCCTCTTTCTTAGGAGCTCTATGTTCAACAAGCTTGTTTTCAGTGAAGCACATATTTCCCATTCTCCAAAGATACTGTAGGCTGTAGCTTTTAGTCGAATCGGGTAGTTTTAATTCTTAGATGATCATTCTGGTGTGTAGCCAGGCTAGAGCTGCTGTGAGTCACTTCAACACGTTCATTAAGCATCCTTTGAGAAATCTCAAGATAACTTTCAGGGTTATTTCAGGTGTCTTTTGTACATGGCCACATCTTTTTTTTTTTTTTTTTCTTTTCTGATTATCTTTCATAAGTGGCACTGCCTTGTCTCTGGCTTATTCTTTTTATTGAAGCTCAAAGAGGTCTTCATGTGTATTCTTAAAAATTTTTCCCTGTCCCACCCTGTTATAGGCAGTGTGCTGGTTAAGTCCTTATCTGGCTCTTTTTCTTAAAGAATAATAATTTTTTTTTTTTGGGGGGGGTGGGGGGAACAGCACCTGTTCTGTTTATTTATTTGTTGCTCTCCATACTTGCTCATGTTTTTTTTCTAGTCATTGTTCTCCTGTGACTCACTTCATGCTGTTTGTCAAGAACCTGCCATGCAGTTTGCATGGCAGGGCTTCAGCCTTTGCATCTTTGAGTGTATTTTGTAGTCAAGGGAAGTCCGGCAGAATTTTATCTTTTATCTCTGTCAAAGTTGATCGTGATGATACAGTCAGTCATACCATATTTTACTTTGACGTGGTGTCCAAGCCTGGATTTATCATTTATGTGGTCTTTCAGATCTTTTCCGTGTGCTTTGACTTCAAATGCTGTTGACAGATTTATGGCTACATTATTTTGTTTTAGTCTGTTGTCAGAGCTTTTGTAGGATAGAATAAATAAGTTCCAGATTATGAGAAAGATGTTGATAAATTGCAGCAAGCACGAGGGAGAACAAAAGTTTTGACAAGGCTGAGTAATGGATTGATTTATGAAGAAAGATTAAAAGATTATAGTTTAGTTAAATTGATGATTAAAAGGAGAGCAGAAGGTTTAAGAGCTATCTATCTAGAGGGTGTTAACAGCAAAGAGGGAGTGGAATTACTTAGTGCAATACAGAAGAGTAAAACTGGAGGTATTGAGTTTAGTTTAATGGAAGGAAAATTTAGGCTCTCAGACAAAACTGTTATGTGATGAGATTTAGTGCTTTGTGGATTAGTTTCTGAATGGAAGTGGTAAGCACATCGTTTCTTGGACTATTAAAAGCCCAAGACTAGACAAAAGAAAACTCATACAGAACAACAGTGCAGTTGCCAGAAGACCACCTAAAGGGTCTCTTCCATCTTTAACCTCCATGAATCTGAAGGAATGATGATCTTAAGTTTTCCAATAACTTTAGAATGTAATCTTAGCTCTCTGGCCTTCTGAAATGTCATGATTAAATTGCAGATTTCTCTAGTAAGTCTCTCTCAGCCTTGCCTGACTGGTGGTAATGAGTTCTGTTTTGTAGCATGCAACAGTATTTTGGGTTTGTTGGAGAGCATCTAAAAGACCTTTGACTTTATGATAACTTCTGATGTCTTCACTGAGCTGTGTGATAGAATATATTTTAAATAGTCAGGAATGATTTTTCTTTGATTTTGTTTCATAGCTTTTATGATAGAACAAGCGTAAGTCAACACCGCGATTAACCTTAAACTTTGTCAACGATAAGGCTAGAATGAAAGTTGCTTACAACTTCCAGTATCTGTAGTAGATTGTCAGGGCTGCAGGTTTAT